CAAGAAACTAAAACTAGAAGTTCCACTCAACCCAGCTGTTCCTGTTCTTGGTATCTTCCCAAAAGAATTAAAAGCATCATACCAAAGCGATATATGCACACCCATGTTTATGGTGGCACAGTTTGTAATAGCTAAATCTTGGAAACAGTCCAGATACCGATCAAACAATTTATGGATAAAAAAGATGTGGATTTTTTTATACATCACTGTACTAATCTGCTATAAAGAAGGATAATCTTGAGGCATTTCTAGCTAAATGGATGCACCTTCACACCATACTCAAGTGAAATAAATAGGACACACATGTTTAAATACCACATTGTTTCACTGATGTGAGAAACCAAAATATAAATAAGAACCAAAATGTATAATAGATATTGAGAAATGGGAAGAAAATGTTCAAATGAGGAGGACAAGGGAGCGGGGAGGAGGAAAGGAAAGAAGGGAGAAGGAAAAAATAGAAAAATGGAAACAAAGCTTTTCTAAATAAGGAGAGGAAGAGGTGCTGAAGGGAAGGGAATGGGAGAAAAGAAGAAGCAAGATATATTATGTACATGTACAAATTCCTTGTGATGAATGTTATCTTTATGTAGATATAAAGTGTATCAATAAAATAAAAAGATGCAGAAAAAAAGCTTCAAAGATAATTTTGGGAATTTGAGCATGGTGGTGCATGCCTGTCATCCTAGCAGTTTGAGAGGCTGAGATAGGATGGCAAGTTCAAGTCCCACTTGAGCAATTTAGCAGTAACCTGGGTGATTGACCAAGATAGTGGAGTGGTAAGCAGCAGAGAAAGAGCTTCTCTGAGTGTTGCCATCCAGGCACTGGAATATAGCAATGTGAGAAAGACAAGAAGGAGAGAAGTGGGTCTCCTGGACCCAATAAGGAACTGAAGCGTGAATTAAAGCCCACAGAGAGAGTAAAGGGAAAAACTTCAACAAAGAAGCAGGAGGTAACCAGTGGCACCTTCTCCCTGAGACATTACTCACTGCACAAGAGGAGTGATTCAAATCTGTGGACATACAGTGACTGCTGGTGACCCTAGAGGCTTTCACGGAGAGATGCAGCAGTAGAGGGGAGCAGTGGACGTAAAGGACTGAACTAGCTGGCGGTGAGTGCTGAGGGCTCAGTTGTCCCATAGGAGAGAGCAGTCATCCAGGAGCCATTTTGAAGAGGGGCCAGCTGAGCTCAGAAGTCAGAGCAGCTGCTGGCTCTGTCTCATGGCTCCCAGCTGGGCTGAGACCTGTGGAAGGTGTGCTGACAGCTGCGGGCCAAATTAGTCTGGTCTTGGCAAGAAGGTGCAGGCTCACTGAGATTATCCACTACCCTGCCAAAAAGCTACTGCTGGCTTGCTGAGATATATCAGCTTGGATCAGGACTCTGTCTCCACACATTGTCTGCTACTAATAACAGAGACAAACCTGGAAGTGGACTTTTTTTCTCTGTCTGTCTTGATTTTGTTATTGTGGTGGTGGTTTTTTTTTTTTTTTTTTTGCTTTTTCTTCATTGTTTGATCTTATTTTTATATGAGTGTGACCAGGGTGTCTAGCCTCTTTGTGTTTCTTGTTCTGTTCTATTCTTTTTATCTCTTCCTTTTCTCTTTCCCTCCAGTCTTCTGCACCAGTTTCCCAAAGTTAGCATGATCTCCCTTTGTCCTCCAGCCTTACTTCTAATCTCTTCCTCTTCTTCTATCTCTCTATTTTTCCCTTAACTCCTTTTAAATTTTAACCCCTGGGAGTAAAATTGACAAATTAAGAACTTATATATTGCATATAATTTTCTGGTTTGTTTTATATTTTGTTATATAACTACAGATCTAGTTCATGTGGTTAAAGGTGGCAAATTAATGGTTACCTCAGTTTGTCATTTTCTAAGCTGTGATTGTTGCTGCTATTATAGCCAAAAGTGACATAATTGTTCTGAACAGCTATTCTTCCTGGTATTCCAAGACTGAAATTGACTCAGGGTCATAGATACTGTGGCACAGTGCCAAAGAACCAGTGGCTAGGCCAAACAGGCAGTAACTTCTCATTCCCAACAAATTGAAGATGTAAAATCTTACAATAAACTCAAAACCCAAAAACCAGTTGCACCTTGAAGATACCTCAGAGAAGTAGTCATTTCCTAAGGGTTCTAAGTACTAGCCACAAAGCTACCCACCAAACACAGTTTACAAGCATCACCCCAGGAAGTAAACTAAAAAAAGAAAATGAGGAGACATTTAAGCAAGGGGCAACCCCAGACATCTCTTATCCAAAGGCACAGGTGGGACAATCCAAAACCCACCCACCTTGCCTTTCTGAAGTGATAATAACAAAGCAATTGAATGAGGCTCTAGAATAAAACAAATCAGAAATAATTTCTCAATAACTGGAAAGGTTGTGTCCACAATGAAAACCATGCTTAGTGACTCTAGAGCAGATACAAACAAAAAAAAATAAAGGAACTTAAGAAAATTATGGAAGCCATGAATGCTCAGTATAGGAAAGAAATGGAATTCATAAAGCAGATTCAAGCAGATATCCAGGAAAATAAAAATTCCATTGACAGTATCTGCAGCAGATTAAGCCAATGTGAGGACAGGATCTCAGATAATAGAAGACAGGCTTGCAGTTAGTGATCATGAAAAGAAAGATTCCTTAGAAATAGCAAGAGAGGGGCTGGGGTTTTAGCTCAGCAGCACAGTGCCTGCCTGGCAAGCGCAAGGTTGTGAGTTCGATTCCCAGTACCGGAAAAAAAAAAAAAAAACAAAAATAGCAAGGGACCATGAGAAATCAACCCAGCAGTTGCTAGAGGAGGCAAAGAATAACTCAAAGTTAGAGTCAATGAAAAAGCAGGAGATAGCACAAATGATATAAAAAATGTCATTGCAGAAACCTTTCCTGGTAGGGCAAAGGAATTTGACATCTAAGTGAGGCATATAGAAATCCAATTAGCCACGATCAAAAGAAAAATCTGCAGCTAGGGGTATCATAATCAAGAATCCAGTAATTCAACACAAGAATAATAAGACCCTGTTTCATAAAATGGTTAGGCACATAGCTCAGTGATAGTGTCTACGGTGGGAGAGATTTTGAAAAAATCTAATATGGAGCTAGGCTGAATATAAGATGGCTTTGGAAGATTTTTGTCAGTGTTCTTGGGTATGATAAAAGCATTGTGGTTATGTAAGAGAATGCAAGCTTGTTCTTATGGAATACAGGCTCAGTTGTGGAAGGGTGAAATGTATCTGCAACTTTCTTTCAAATAGTTGATGTGTACATGCATATATGTTGTCAGATAGCCTGCTTCAAAAGGTGGCTCATCAACTAAATGTTACCAGGTTTTGCCTTGCTCGCCTCTGCCTGTGGAATAGATTGTAGGTTCTAATCTTGAACAAAGTGATCAAAAAGCAGTGGCCAAATTTATTTGAGAAAGTAAAAGTGAATAGTGGGGAGAGAAACTGGCTCTGCAGAGTGAGCTTGGGCTGAGTAAAGAGAAAAAGAGTGTAAAAGCAAAAATAAAAGTACATGCTGTGTCTGGGAAATGCAGTGTGGGCTTTCATGGAAAGCTGATATTAAGCTCTTCATGTGTGGGTGTCCTTTATATCGTCCAAATCTTGAGGAAACATGTGAGAACTTTACTTAAGGTCCTGAGGGGTGGTGCTGGGGTCCCACATCTCATGCTGACTTCAGCTCTAGGCCATCCTATTGAAAACCTGCTTGAGTTCTTAGGCAAAGTCCATTTGTGCAGGGCTTTGGGAACTATTTTGTGCATGTGTTTCAAATTTTGTAATTGCCCACATCTTCAGCCAGTTTTGCCACATCCTACTGTCCTATCTCATATAGGTGAAGCAAATATGGCAAAATAAGTTATTAAATCCTGATGTGATAGGCATATGGATATTAATGTATCATTCATTCTTTATATATTTGATGTTTTAAAATGAAATGTCTTTTAGAGAGAAAGAGGAAAAAATGACCAAATAGTGAAAGACACTACAGTATATGAAACAAAAATGAACACAAAATACTAACAGTAAATATAACAGTATGAGAGCTAAGAACAAACATGTCAGTTATCAATATGTACGTATGGATTTCACTTTCTTGTGAATTTCAAATATAAATTACCATCTGAAGTAGAAGTAGGATAAAAATGTCCTAACTGTTCACATTGTCTTGTTTTTAGCGTTTGTCTTTTTTTTTCTAAAGACACTTTTAGCACTGTTGATGTGGAAGATCATGAGTGTGCCGTGTGGCTGCTCCTGAAGGACAGCAAGTCAGAGGACAGGACCACACGATTGGAGGCTGTGCGGGAAATGTCAGAGGCCCACCACTGGCATGGTAATGAGAGCAACTGAATTGCACCGCTCCATCAACTAGCTCATTACTTCTGGTATAAAAGAGGAGGGAATGAGGTGAAGGAAGAAAAATAATTCAGTGTATGTTTAAATGTAAAAAAAAAAAAAAAAACTTATTACAATAAAAGACACATTGCCAAGAATAATGGGATAAGTGTGTTTGACACAGGAAGAAATTTTTGAGTATCTTGGGGGAGATTAATGTAAAGTATGTTCAAAAATTTGAGAAGAAGCTCCAGTGATAAAGTAGAAAACTTGCTAGCCTGGTAGCCAGATGTGTTTGGTAAGAGCAGCCTCAAAACTTATATATATTTTTTTACATACTTCTCCGCCAGAACAAAATTTTGATTGCATATTTCCCTGAAAGAAACTCTTGACTCTGATAGCTGTTGTCTAATGTTTTGCTTGCATTTTGTTTTGGTTCCTGTTTAAGGACGTACAGTAATACCTTGGTTCACGAATGCTTCTGTTTGCAAATAATTTGGTTTGCAAACAGAGGTGTTTGGCAAAATTTTGCTTCTGTTTGCAAACTTGATATGTGGTGACAAAAACAACCATGGCTGTCTTCTCCATACAACCACAAATGTAGCCTCCCAAAATTGTAAGACAAATTGAATTCATAAACCAAGGCACTGCTGTATTATTTAATTTCTTGGTACACTGTACAATTATATTTGCTTTTACTTTGACAATCAACTTGACTCTAATAATAATTAGCTGTTTACCTTGTGTATTTATAATTTTAAATGAATAAAATATTTAATTGTATTTTATACTCACTGGTTTGCAATAAGACTATTTGGATAAGCTCTGATTGTAGTACATATAGATGAAACTGTAATTTTTTAGTAGATGAAACTGTAGTGTCATCTTGTAAAAAGTGAGTAAGAAATAGGAAAGAACCATGTTCTCAAAGAAAAGTCAGAATAAGATTTTTGCCTCCATATAAGTTCATTCATTGGTTGGTAGTGATAATTGTAATAATTTACAAGTACAGTATAACTAGAGACTTAAAATAAAAATCTTTTTTAAAAATCTGCCTTCCAGGGTTCCATTCTAGATTTATGAAGTCAGAAAAATCAGAAAAGGAACCCTGGCATGGGGGTTTTGAAACAGTTCCCCACCTGATCCTGAAGTACTCACTGAGATTACCAGCTGCTGTTTTGGAAAACAGTGTCAACTTCAGCATTTGGAATTTTGTTTTTTGTTTGTTTGGTTGGTTCTTTTTGTTTTTGTTTTGTTTTTTTTTTTTTGATACCGGGAATCGGACTCAGGACCTTGTGCTTGCCAGGCAGGCGCTTGTACTACTGAGCTATATCCTCGGCCCGGAATTTTGTTTTTGATATATAAAGAATGGCATGTTTAAATCAGAGTACCACCATCTAAATATTCATGGGTAACATAGATGCCAAAGTATTATAACATAACCACTGGACAGACTTCAGTGCAGCTTCTAGTGTTTTGAGTAGTGAAGAGAACAACAGCTTTTGAATGCTAGGGTTATTTAAAAACTTGTTAAACGAATGTTGACTTAGGTGTTTTCATTATTTGAGTTTCATTGTTTCCAAAAAATCAGACTTTGACACAGTCCCCAGATATAGTAAATGTTGAGGATTTTGAGGTCAGTTGTGGAAATGTTGAGTATTGAGGTCACAAATATTGTAAATGTAGTTGTAATTTGTGAAAACATACATAGGAAATTTTGGATTATATTGTATAACAGTTTAAAAGTTAGAGTTCTTTCAAGTAGTTTATTCATTTAATTCTTGTGACAATTATAAGCTAATTTAGGTGTCTATTAAAAAATATACTTTTATAACAGATTACCAGTATAGGACAATTGCTCAAGCCTGTGACGCGAGAACTCTTGTTGGTTTGGCACGAAGCAAAGACAGTGATCCTCGCTTTTTTCTCCCACCACCTCCTTTGCCACCCTTAAAAGAAGTAAGTAAATAAGATATGCCCAAAATAGAAAATAGTTTATTTTTATGTGTTATTACATGTTTGTGATGCATGATTAATATGTTCATAGGGAATTGGTACATATATTGTACATATTGCATTTTAGTCCTTTTTATTTCCCATGGAAAATATTCTCTTAAATTTGGGTACAAAAGAAACTTTCAAAAAGTAATTGTTGGTTACTTTTCATAAGCACGTAAACTAGGATGTGTAACTAAAATTACATTTTTCATGCAAAGATTTGATTCCTTGGGAGAAGCTATTTCTCTTATATTATTTTCTGCCCTTGGGGACTGGGAATCTCTGTGACTGGGTAATTTCTATTATAGCCTATCAATATTTGAGTTTGCTATATATCAGATTTTTTCAACTTTAACTTTTACTGACATTTTGGACTAAATATTCTGTGTTGGAAAACCTTGTGTTGTGTATTGCATGATGTTTAGCAGCATCCTGTACTCTTTTCCCAAGAAGCTAAAAATAGCCCCAGTTGTAACAATTGAAAGTGTCTTCTGACATTGCTAGTTATTTCCTGGTGAGCAAACTAGCTCCCAGTTGAGAACCATTCCACAGATTTAAAGGATGTTTCTTGAGAACCTTTCCTAGATCAGGAAATCAAATTCTTAAAACTTCAATGTAAGCAGTTTTTTAGAAATAGAAAAATGAATATCTGGGATACTAGTTATCAAAGAAAATGACATAGTAATGAGTTTTATCAGAGAAAATGAAATTGTAATGAATTGTAGATTTAGAAAGCAGTAATTTTGGTTTTTCTTAGGGCGGGGGGTACCAGATATTGAACTCATGACCTCATACTTGCCAGGCATACACTGTACCACTGAGCTAAACCCTTGGCCCCTGGAAAGCAATACCTTTGGTTAAAAGAGTATAATAATTCATTCTGAGTCAAGGTATAAAGAAGCCTAGGAGGGACTGAGAGTTAAAATTTGCTATAGGTCTTTCAGATACAGCAGTAGCCATGAAAGTATAGAGTTCAAATTTAAATGATTATTTTCCTGGAGGGTGACTGTTTTCAAAACTCAAAGCACTGATTTGTCTCTGCTAATACCTATGTACGTGTATATACATACTTGCATATGCATATGTTTTGGCTTTGATTCTTTTCAGTATTTTTTAACTGTACTCAATTGTTAAGTTTGTTTATATTTTCTTATCCTTTTATTTCAGGATTCTTGCACTGAAGAAGAACTCAGACAGTTGCTGGCTTCTTTACCTCAGACAGAGCTAGACGAATGTATCCAATATTTTACATCCTTGGCTCTTAGTGAAAGCAGTCAGAGTCTGGCTGCTCAGAAGGTTTGTTCATTTGTTTATTCAGAAAATACTTTTGAGTGCTTATACTTTCTAAAATGTTGTGCCTGAGGCCAGCAGCTAGAACCTTAAAATAGTCATTCAGTTAGTTACCAAATGAACATACTGACTTCCATTTGTGTGCCATGCACTAGGCCAGGTATCTGATAAATAGTCACAGAAGTGTGCAAAGCAATACAAGACACTTCGAGAGCCCTTAACTCTGTTTACAGGTGATTTATGGCTTCAAAAGTGGAAACTTACATGGAATCTTAAAGAATGAATAGATGGTAATTAATAAGATTTTAAGTATCACAGGTACTTGAAAGTATATGCTGATAGTGCCTCATTTGATATATTTAATTCTGTGTTCTTACTTAAGCTGTAGGTTTGATTATTCAGCCTCCCACCTAGCATCTGAGCTTGGGTGTGTGCCAGGAATCTCAAGCTTAACAGGTTGAACCTGCCCTCTCTCTGTAAAACTATTCGTCTTTTGCCCTTTCACCTCAGCGAATGGCATAAGATCCACCTAGTAGTGTACATTAACGACTAGGAATGCTGCTCAGTTTCTTCCTTGCATGTCCTTCCTTGCATGTCCAGGTCAACAACAGCAGCTCTTGGAGTATTCCTGCAGAATACAAATTTGAGCCTGTTTTCCTGCTGTCTTGCTCCTGGCTCTTGCTTCTTCTCCACTGTGTCCTGTTCTTTCATCTTGCCTTCTATTCTTTACTTAATAATTTAATAGTCTTTTCTTAATAATTTAAAAATCTCTTTTAGATTGTTGTATATTTCACTTTTTGGTGGTATCAATTCTTGTTTGTGATGATGACTCTCCCCCTTGGTGGATAAAAGTCAGTCATGGGTCATGCCTTCTGACTGTGAGCTTACATTAGCTGAACTGATTGTTTCCTGTGTGAGTTGCTGACATCATGTATTAGAGATTTTTCCCTACAAAGCAATTTTTGTGTTTCTCCTGAATACCTCAGAAGTTTCTTTCTTCCTTTCTTCCCCCTACCTTTCTCCCTCCCTTCCTCCTTTCCCTTCTTTCTTGGATAGTGGCACTGGAACCCAGGGCCTTTGCACTAAATTACATCCCTAGCATTTAAATATTTTTAAAAAAATTATCAGTAAATATTTGCAGTATATGATTATATTTATGATGGAGAGTTTTCATCTCCTCCTCCCCTCCCACCATCTTGTGGTCACCTTCACATTTGAAAAAGATCTAGCTCCTTTTTTCCCTTTTTTTTTTTAAGTTTTGAAACAGGATCTTGCTAAGGCATTAAGTTGCTCGGGCTGGGTTTTAATCTGCAGTCCACCCAGAGTACTGGAATTATAGGTGTACACCATCACACAAAGCTGAATTTCACTTTTTTTTTTTTTTAGTTTCACTTTTATAAGACTAGATTTTTCAAAAAAAATTATAAGTTTTTATTAGTACATGTTTGTAGTACCTGATGTTTACGTTCCTTATGGGGAGTTGGTACATGCACATAACACACCTTAATTCTTTTTTTGTGCCCTTTCTCTCCCCTCCTCACTACTTCCTGCAGCTCTTTATACCCTTCCCATTTGAGAAAGAGCTATCTCCCTACTTTCTATTATTTAACTTTTATTTTCCTTGCTCTTTATACTTTAGTTTTCTGATATAAGAAAAACCATGTGTGGGCAACCCAGTTTTTGAGCTTTTCTTTCTCTCAATAAATGTTTCCTTAAAAAAAAGAAACAAAAAAAACCCATATGTATCTGATTTATTTCACTTAACATTGTGGTCTTAAGGTGTATTGATTTTCCTCCAAATTACTCAAATTTATTCTTTATAGCAGAGTAGAATTCCACTGTGTATAAATACCACATTTGCTTTATCCATTCATCTGTTGATGGATAAACAGGTGACCTCTAAGATTTAGCTACTATGAATTGTGATGCTATAAAGCATGAGTATGCATTTATCACTGTAATACAATGTCTTTAATTCTTTTGAGAAGATGCCTAGAAGGGGAATAGTGGGCTGAATGGAATTTGAGTAATCTCCATACTGATTTTGGTAGTGGTTGTAGTAGTTTATATTCCCACCAACAAAGTAGAAGAGTTCTTTCCTCCTTGCTCCCCAGCATTCGTTGATACTTCGTGATAGCCATTCTTTCTGGAGTACGATGGAATGTCAGTGTTATTTTAATTTACCTTTCTGTAGTGGTCAGAGATGCTGAGTGTTTTTTCGTGTATGTATTAGCCATTTGTACTTCATCTGAGAAGTGTCTGTTCATTTCAGTTATCTATTTTTTATTGGATCTCTTAGTAGGCCTTGGCTTCAGCTTACCTGACATCATTTTTCCCCTTGCTTTTTTAATCTGTCCCCTTCTGCTCTTCCTGTGCTCACTGAGCTTCTGCCAGGATGGCCTTTTCTCCCCTTGCCAAGTGTGTATCCATTTACATTCCCTCTGCCTAGACCTGGTTCCTCCAGCTTGTTACATGGTTGCCTGCCCTAGTCTTAGCTGGGAAACTCTTCACACTTTCCTCTTCATTTCAGGTGTTCATTGTGCAGATTGCCCTTCATAACACATACTCTGTTCTGTAATTATATATACAGTTTATTTGGTTTATTTGTTTTTGGTGCAGGGAATTGAACAGTAAGTTTATTTGCTTGCTTATTTAAAAAATGTTCTTACTATCTTCCAGTAGTTGTAACTCCCTCAGTACTGAGTACAGTACCTCATAAAGAATATTCCTTCAAATAATGAATGGATTAATCATAATGTTGCTGAAAGAGTGAGGCTATACATGAACTTATATTTGGCTTAAGTAAATAACAACTGGTATATTTCTATTGTGAATCAAAGTATATTTGTGTGCCAGTGACAAAATAGAGGTATCCCTGAGGATTATGCTTAGCTGGAATATAGATACTATGGTAAGAAAATATCCATTATATATTAAATCATTTTGGAGGTATAAACTTGTTGAAATACCTTAATAACATGTTAATTCAAGGATGTTGAGACTCAATTTGAGGATTATAATTTAAAATATTTATATACAAAGAATTTGATTGCATTACCTGTAATTAATCTATTTTGGATAGAAGTTCTTTAGTAACTTACCTGGTTGACATTTTTTCTTATGGCTTACTATTGTTATCTTTCAGTTTTTACTTTTAACCTTTTTGTATCAAGGTTGTCAACTCTCTCCACATTTTCTATTCATTTCTATAATCCTTAAGAAATTGTTTTTTTATTGCCCTTATGGAACTTGACATGTAGCTTTTTTTTTTTTTTTTTTGTACCGGGAATTGAACTCAGGACCTTGCACTTGCCAGGCAGGCACTTATACCACTGAGCTATATCTCCGGCTCATGTAGCATATCCTAAATCTTTATGAATTTATTTATTTTTGAGGCAAGGTCTCACTGCATAATTCAGGCTGGCCTACACAGAACGCACTGTGTAGCCCAGACTGGCCTCTAACTTGCCGTGACCCCCTTGTCTCAACCTCCTGAGTGCTGGGATTACAGACATGCGCCACCAAATGCAGCTTTATGAATTTTTTAGTCTTGTTATATCTCAATCCAGTGATGAAGCAGCAGTGGATATGTCTACTTTTTTTCGTATTATACAAGTAAAACTATAACCCAGGGCACCATGCCCTGAGTGAATATTTTTGCATTTATTCTTTTTTGCTTGTACTTACTGCTACACAATCTACCAGTTCATAAATAATGTACAAGCTTTGCCAACAACACAAATGGAACTGGGACTATACTCTTTACACTGCACAAAGTAATCAAGAAAAACTAAAATCCTAGGTCATTTTTGTTTTGTCCTCTTTCTTTCCTTGGGACATGTACTGTAGAAAGAAGTTAGATGATTTGAGAAAAGGGGTTTTGGAAAACCAGGTTGTGGTCATAAATCTTTTTCCCTCTTAGTGCTGAGAATTGAACTCGGGGCTTTGTGTATACTAGGTCATAGTGATCCATCTTGTTAAAGAACTTATGCCAAAAGTCCACCTGTCCTCACTGAAGAAAACAGCTTTCAATGAGTTGGTCTCTTCACAATTCTCAGTTTAAATAATGTGAATCTTTGGGATCCAAGCATGTTTAAACTTGGGAAACAAATACTATCTTGAAGAAAGCATGAATAAAATGTCCCCAAAATTCTTTGAATATTTGATTAGTTTACTGAACCCTGGACCTTATAAACTAACTCAAGATGTAGAACTTTACAAACATTATTTCATATAGAAAACACTGGACTTGCTGGCGTGATGGTACACACTTGTAATCCCAGCACTTTAAGAAACTGAAGCAAGAGAGTCATAAATTCAAGCCCAGTGTGGGCAGCTCAGCATTTTAGCAAGACCTTGTCTCAAAATTTAAAAAGGGCTGGGAGCTGAGCATGGTGGCACATACTTTT